GGGGAGATGGGCGCCAGAGGAGTTGTTTAGAAGCCGCTTTCTGGTGGTGCTTTCTGGAAGATTGAAAAAAGCTGAGTCACTTCAAAGGTTGAGGCGTGGTGCAGTTGGTCCCCCACAAGTCTCAATGTAGAAGTGCCCGGGAGATGGGCGCCAGAAGAGTTGTTTAGAAGCCGCTTTCTGGTGGTGCTTTCCGGAAGATTGGAAAAAGCTGAGTCACTTCAAAGGTTGAGGCGTGGTGCAGTTGGTCCCCCACAAGTCTCAATGTAGAAGTGCCACCACTTCTCCTTTCGGGTTTATCAAGCAGGTGTTGTGATGTGGATGTCCTGGCCTTTTGCCCCTCCCTGGGGGGAGCATGTTGTGTGACACCACTCCTAAGGAGACGTGAACAAACATCTAGTCACCCCAGAAAGGGAACCAACCAACAATAGACCAAAGTTAGGATGCCACCAAAGTCTAACTTGGTGAACTGATGAGTTTTATTGGGTTTTCTTACAGGAACAGAAATGACTTGAAGACAGTTGCATTGTCACCTAGCATGGGTGACAGCTGGAAAGAGTTAGAAACCTGGAGCACACTGCAGAGTTGGAGTGTCCTGTCCAGGCAGCTCTATTGGTCTCCACCTCCTCCTCTAGTCTCTGCCTCTGGTCTCCCCTCCTCCTCTAGTCTCTGCCTCTGGTCTCCACCTCCTCCTCTGGTCTCTGCCTCTGGTCACCACCTCCTCCTCTGGTCTCTTGCCTCTGGTCTCCACCTCCTCCTCTGGTCTCTGCCTCCCTCTGGTCTCCACTCCTCTCGTCTCTGCCTCCCTCTGGTCTCCACCTCCTCCTCTGGTCTCTGCCTCTGGTCACCACCTCCTCCTCTGGTCTCTTGCCTCTGGTCTCCACCTCCTCCTCTGATCTCTGCCTCCCTCTGGTCTCCACCTCCTCCTCTGGTCTCAGCCTCTTCATTGTTGCTTGGCTGAGAGAATCTCCCAACAGATCTGTTCATATGGGCTTCTGGAGTGAATCTGGTTAGTTTCAGGGACTTCCTGGAGCCCTTGAGTTGTTTGTTTCCTGTTTCCCTGCAGCATGGAATGGTTTATCTCTGGGGAAACTACTACACAACAGGGTGTGACCTTGGGCCAGGGACTTTTGTTTGTTGCCTTGCTTTTCTTCCTCTGTGAAATGGGAGTGATAATCTTGAAGGTGTGGTGTGAGATCAGAAAGTATATTAACCATTTAAGCAGCCTGGGGTGGTATGCACCTGTAGTCCCAGCACTTGGGAGATGGAGGATTGGAAGTTCAAGGCCAACCTTGGATACACAGTGAGTTGGAGGCCAGCCCGGGATACAGGAGACCCTTTCTCTAAAATAATACAAAAACAAACTATGGTGGTTAATTTTAGTTGCCAGCTTGACTGGATCTGGAATTAACTAAATTGCAAGAAAGCACTGGCCATTCCTGTGAGGAGTTTTCTTGATCAGATTATTCAAAGTGGAAGATCCACCCTAAGAAGCTGCCAGCACCTTCTGTTGGCAGCTCCAATAAAGGATGGAAAAGAGAATCGTTGCTTTTTGCCTGGATGGCAAGTTTGTCTACCCTGTTCCTGCTTCATTCCTTTGGTAAGATCAGAATGTAGCTCCTTCTGACTTCCAATGTGAGCTAAAGCTGAGGCTCTCCAGGAATCCTCCAGACCTTCAGTGCCAGATTGAACTACTGAGGCACCAGCCTGCTGAGCTGAACAACTTCTGTTGTCTCTCTGGTATGAGTCAGTTGTTAGACCACCAGACTGAATGCTGTAAGCCAATAAATCCCCCTTTTAAAAGGAGGATTTGTTTACTTTTATGTGCATGAGTGTTTTGCCTGTGGGTAAAGTGGACCGTGTGTACAGTGCCTACTGATGCCAGAAGAGGGCATTGGATCCCTCTTGGAACTGGAGTTATAAAGTTGTGAACTAACATGTGGTGGCTGGGAACTGAACCTAGATCTTCTGCAAGAGCATCAGATGTTCTTAACCACCGAGCCATCCCTCCAGCCCTGTCCTTTAATATATATTTAATACATATCTGTCAGTTCTGCTCCTCTAGAGAACCCTGATCAATACACAAAACATATAGAGGGCACCTGCAACAGTGTGCTGGTTAGCATCAATTGTCAACAACACACCTGAGAAGAGGGACCCTCAACTGAGGAATTTCCTTTATCAAATTGGCCCATAGACATATCTGGGAGGCCTTTTCTTGACTGTTGAGTGATGTGAGAAGGCCCAGCCCACTGTGGGTGGTGCCACT